AGGCTCCTGCAGGACATGAAGACTAGCTCCTGCTTATGAGGTTTTAGTGGTCTTGAAATGAACATTGTCCCTCAAAACATTTCCCATCAGAAATTTGCATATTTTGGAGTACAAGTCCCGGAACCCCTTCAGCCAGCATGGCCATGTTAATCATTTAGGGTATTCTGGGATGCAGTCAAGAAAAGAGGAACTCCTCCAAACCTTGCTCCACATCTAGAACCTATACCTGAACAACAGAAAAATCATTTTGGAATAGATAACACATTTCCTATGAAATGTGTAAAGACACAGATGCTTCTAATTACTTGCACGGGATTGATCCATCCAGATATTTTAACCCAAGGTAAATCTTCTGTTTCTGGAGTGTCACAGTTACCCAACAAACTTGTGTTGTTTATTGAATAATACCTGGTTGAGAGGAAAATATGGTAGTCCAGATTCTCCTTCCATAGAGTCACAGAACTGGAAAGAAAGGGAAGGTAAGTTCAAAACTGAAGTTCTACTACTGAACTGTTTGTACTGGAAGCTCTGCTGGAAAATAGACAGAACCAACATGACTCTACTGGATTTAGCTGGCAAGCTGGATTAGAAGAGAAGTGCAGTCTTGAAAGGAGAGCAAACCACCCAGAGCCCTTTTGCTACTGTCCCCTCACACACTAATGCTGTATTTTATGCTATTGGACAAGATCTGAAATTAAAAAACAAACAAACACCAACTTGGATAGCAGACTTTATGCAGGTCACAGTACAGAAATTGCATACTTCAAGGCACAACATCCAGGAAAGCAGAGAGTATGCAGCATTCATTAGGCAAAGAAAATTGTCTGTGGACAAGCATATTATGTGAAAAATTAATAAGCATCATCTGTCAAACTGTTTGGGAGGGGTATATTCACATCAGTACCTCTTTGATTCAGAAGGACACCTGCCTATGTGGCTTCTTTTTCTGAAAGCCTATGCAGCACATGGAACAGAACCCTATATACATTTACCTAGGAGTAGATCTCACTGACCAAAATCCTGAAACTTTTCCTAGACAGGATAAAACAAACTGTGTAACTTTTAGATGTGTATTGCCTCAAGTTAGGAAATCCCCATAAACATTGTCTGTCATATACCGAGCCATGTTCCTCTGCATACAACACATAACATCTACAGTGATTTCTTAAATTAAGGTTATTTGTCTCCCAAAGTTATGCTGTTTGAATGACATTGCCATAACATCCCAATAGGATTTTGGCTAACAAACTCAATGAGGCTTACTTCTGAATAAACACATGTAACACTATGACGTTGCTCCAGTTTTTCAAGTACAGGCAAATGTAACTCTCATAAGGTACAGAAGCCCTTCCGTTCTTTGGCATCTGGCCAGCTAAGTCCAGCAACTATGGCCAAATCCAACTGAACAAATGCCATCTGTTTTCTTCATTGATATTCTAGGGACAAGAGAAGAATGGAGCACCACATGATGTGTGATGCAAGAGGTGGTGCTGGTAAGAGGCAAGGGGAGAGAAGTAGCATGCCACCCTTGACTCCTTCCTCAAAATAGGTGCTGATAAGAGCTCTCAGAACACATGTTCTGCAAGCGTCAGGCAGGTATGGAATATCATTTTTTTTATTTATAACTGCATAAAGTTGCCTAGAATCCTATACATGGCAATGTCCATTTGATCCGATGTAACATCACTTGTTACACAGGATGAGCCCACTTGGTACAAGACAATGCTGCTTCTGCATTTTGTGCTCACTCAAGCATGTTGTTATCAAGAAATAAATGTGGGTATAGCTGACATTAGAGATGAGGGTATTCGTATGCAAATATGAATATCCCTGCACAGGTGGCGATAACAAGGGTCCAGCCCCATGGGGCCGGACGGTCCACTCACCAATCTGTTGCTGCCACAGTTGCCGCGATCCTTCCAATGGCTCTGCAGATTGTGATCTCCGAGCCACTCTTCAACCTTACAATGAGGCTTGTCCTCCTGCCTCCTGCCAGGAGTGGCTAGCCGATTGCAATCTGCAAAGCCACTGGAAGAATCGCAGCATCTGTGACAGCGGTGGATCAGTGGCTGGTTTGTTGTTATCGCCACCTGTGCAGGGATATTTGTATTTGTACATGAATATGAATACCACCATCTTATATAGATGGCACTGTTCCCTTTCAAACAGGCCTGTGAATTGAAACTGAGAGGCTGACTATACAGACATTTAGTCAGCTATTCAGTCTGCTGCAGGGATGGACTAGTTTGTTCCTAAAGATGGTGATCAGATAATGTCCTTGTTGGAATGAATCAGAAGTCAGCTATTCAGTCTGCTGCAGGGATGGTGATCAGATAATGTCCTTTTTGGAATGAATCAGCCCACCTACCCCCAGAGTGGTCCTAGTTACACCTTTCTGTCCCTTGTTGGGGGCTTCTACTTTTTTGGTGTGGGTAGGATCAATTTCTTTTGGTCCATTTTCAGTGCATGTGATCACTGTGATCAAACAAAAAGACATCCTCTTTTGATTTGCTGGTATCGTGAAGTGGCTTAAGAGGAAAGCCCTTTCACACTATTGGCAGATTAAACACTTCCTCAGCTCTGTGAAGTGGCAAAGGAAATGGGGGTGGTCAGATTAAACACTTCCTCAGCTCTGTGAAGAGGCAAAGGAAATGGGGTTTAAGTGTTAGGGCTGCTGACACACCCTGCATCATTTTAAAAGCAGTATGATATACATTAAGTTTGTAAGGTATACCCGATGCATACCCAATACGCATACCTAACCTATAATTCACAGACCTAATTCTGTTTTTAAAGTGATGCAGTGCATATTCTCTGCTCTAATACACACTTCAAAATTTGTTTTCACTTTCTCTGCTCCTCTATGGAGGCAAGGAAGATTTTAATTTGCCAATATCATGACATAGCTCTCTTCTTAAAGCCACTTCACAATATTGGCACATTGACAGCAGACCGCTGCTGACTAGATAGGATATCTTGATTTAAGCCACTTCACAATATTGGCAAATTGATAGCAGACCGCTGCTGACTAGATAGGATACCTTGATGTCTGTACACCATTCAGATGCAAGGATCACACCAAATGGTATGGAGTGACACTATTTAGCTCAATCCAGCCTGGTACAAGGGCCACATGTAGATAAGCCCTAAATTGCCCAGATGCAATAGAGGACACAGATCCTGTGCTTTCAATAGCTGCATAGAAGGAATTTTGTCATGCGTAGCTTACCATGCAAACTAGATCTGTTGAAATTCTGTCTTCCATATATCTTTCAATGGCACAAAGGCCTTATAGTCTTTTGTACTCTTACTAAAAGCTGGGTATTAAGCATGAACTAAGTGGTACATATGCATGAGTCATGTTTACTGTTATCAACATTAGTAGGTCACTCTCGCTGTTCCTTAATGCTGCTGGTCAGTTGAGCTTTGCTGCAAGTAAGCTCACACTATTGAGTCAGCTGTTGTGTGAAAACACTAGTTATAGCTAATGTTCTTATACATTTGCATTTGAGTCAGCTGTTGTGTGAAAACACTAGTGATAGCTAATGTTCTTATAGCACATTTGCACGCATACCTATTCACAAGTAAGTCTCACTGAATTCACAAGACCATAGTCTCAAAATGCTGCTATCAAATGGGATATAGTGTGAAACAGTGGGTGCATGGCAAGAGAAGAGAAGGAGAGAAGCAACTTGGACTTTTGCTGTGATTTGAACATTCTCATTACTGGGTTGATTGAGGCTGATTGCACTTTTTGCATAATTGTACTTTAATATTTATACATTTTATCTTACTATTCTTGCTTCTCTTGAAGATCTGATTGATTTCAATTTATATTCTGGAATGACTGCATTTCCCTCCCCCCCTTTTTTTTTGCTACTGCATTTGAATTTTTTGGTATCATTGTTTATTAAAATATTTATCTTTCACTACTAAAAGCAACCATAATTAAAATACTGGCACATATATATTTGTTGTTATTGTTTAATAACAAGCAAGCATTCTGAATCACTTTGGGCATACATTTTGTAGAAAAGTAGCATACATATTTCAAAATGGAAGCAGAAGTTTAATCCCAGGAAAAGTGTATATACCATGAAACCAAGAATGCCACCTGCCAAATCCAAGGTCTTTGGTGGGATGATTTCTAATCTGAAAAATGTGTAAGAGAAACTCCATATCCTGCATATCACAGGTATCACAGAAGGTCTGGTTCAACTGACGTTACAGCTTACACACCTTCATTTGCCCTGATACTAATATGATGCATCTGTTCAGAGTGGAAATTATATGAAATGGAAAGACAGATTAGAAATATACCCCAAAAGCTGAGCAACTCATACATCTTATCACAGCTCCAAGTACTTTCTGCCTCCTCACCCCCTACATGCTTACACATGATTATTTTGGATTACAGCCCCCAAAGGAGTAGAGAAGGCCACTTCTCTTGAGCACTCAGTGTGGAGTGGAACCTGAGATAATTTACACATGTCAAAGAGCAGAGGTGCATTAGTCATGTTTCAAATGATCTTTAACTGCAGCTCCTGGTGGAGACAGAATGAACAAAGAATGTACTTGAACCAAATAGCTACTGCTCTTCAAAAACCTTAAAATTATCTCTATCTCAGCCTCCCAATATTCTGCAAAATATCTTGAATAAAAGCAATAAGAAGTGTAGTTCTATTTAATTTGGCATAAGGCTTTTTGGGTGGATGGGGGACTACAACCCATTTTATCCTATGTACAAAGTGAACTGTAGCCCTTAGCAGTTCTGCTAGATATAACATGTTCATATTTAAGAGGCCACTGAAGACACAGTGTTTTTCTGCAACACACTGACATGCCTACGCCTCTGGAAATTCCAAGTATATACTAGCAGACCCTGGCAGCAATGCCTATAAATAGGAGGCCATCATACAAGCCACTTCCCTTCTTACTCACTCCATGTTGAAGCAGACACTTACAAACAAGGTTGATGCTCCAGAAAGAGCGAGCCTTACCTTCAGTGCCCGGACTTTCTTGGCCAAGAGACTCTCAATGTCCCCTGCCACTTTTTCAACTATTTTCTCTGGGACATTCTCTTTCACTCCAAACAGATTTTTTTTCTCATCGTAGATCTGTTGGGAAGAAAATTATATGTTAAGAAGCAGAGAAATTCATTTTGTGACAAACAGGCACACGGACACTTTTACAGATATCCAAGGAAAAGTATTTGTAAGAAAAGAAGAAACAAACAAAACAGAAGTGTCAGGGGCCTGAGAATCTGTTTCAGTTGTTCAGTCCTTAGCAAAAATTTCTGCACCACAACATTTGCTAAAAGATAAGGTTCCCTCCCCTCCAGTTGCTAGCAGTAATTTTGTGTCCAAGATCTACTCATCTTCCTTGCAGTTGCCTTTAAAATGTAGTGCATTCTGGATCATTTTATGGTAAATAAAGCATGTCTACCATATGCCTGTTACATACAGGAGGCAAAAGCCGAACAAATGAATACATCCCTACGAAACACTCTGATACATAGTGTAATATTATTATAAAACAGAAGACAGGCGAGATGAGATTCAGCAACAGCTAATAAATTAATGGGAAGAATGTGGGAAAGAGGCTTATGGAACATGGGGCTGTAGAGAACACCTGGTCAAGTTGCTAACCTCCCCCAAACTTCCAACTTTCTCTCTTTTCAGAACAAAAGTTCCACTGTTGCAAGCTGAGCATGTCACACAGTCAGAAGCCTTTGAAACTGAATTCCTTATTTTCTCAGGATAGTCACGAATTGCCCCCAAGCCTCAATCAGAAAGAGTGCTTCATGTAATCCCACATATGCCCAGCCCAACGGATGAAAGCTAGCACGTTGCCCTCATCCCTCCCACTGTGCACATAATTCAGGAGGTTCAGAGACTAACGGCAGATGGTACATGGCTAAAGGTGGTGGCAGAAGCCAGTGGAGCTCTCAACAGACAAAGAGACAGACTAACATGGTAAAAATTCTGTGAAATAAAAAGAAGGAAGTGTTCATGGCAAATAAATACAAACAGAGCAACAGCAAGAGAGAGAGAGAGAGAGAGAAAGGGGGGAGGTGGGAGGTGGGAGAGGGAAGCTGCTGTCATGCCATTTTGGGCATTATTTTATTACAGTGACTTTATTTCGGATAAATTCAGCACCAACTCACAGCAAAGACAGAACTGCAATGTGACAGAGCAGCTAATACATTCAACAAAGTACCTAATGGAGTTCAATGACATTGTTATTCCTAGGCTTCACAATTAAACCACGTCATCTTGCTTTTATCTCTACAACACATAAATTTATGTAATAGTGCAGGAGGTGGCCAAAAATCACCACAGCCATGGTGTATAAAAGGGGAAAAGTACATTGAAGATACCCCGCATGTGCAGCTCCTGGGCTGCTTCTGCACAAAGTACCTAATGGAGTTCAATGACATTGTTATTCCTAGGCTTCACAATTAAACCACGTCATCTTGCTTTTATCTCTACAACACATAAATTTATGTAATAGTGCAGGAGGTGGCCAAAAATCACCACAGCCATGGTGTATAAAAGGGGAAAAGTACATTGAAGATACCCCGCATGTGCAGCTCCTGGGCTGCTTCTGCTCCCCATTTTCACCACAGCCATGGTGTATAAAAGGGGAAGAGTACATTGAAGATACCCCACATGTGCAGCTCCTGGGCTGCTTCTGTTCCCCATTTATTTATTTATTTGATTTATATCCCACCCATCTGGTCTGGTCGACCACTCTGGGTGGCTTCCATGTCACCTTGCTGCTTTGCTTTTCAAAAGGGATGGTTTTTGTTCCTTCATGCCCATCTAACTCCAAGAAACTACACCAAAATTGAACCTCGGGCATCATCTGCTTTTCGTTTTTCTGAATATTTATTTAAAAAACACATGCAACACCTCATGGTTCGTGCAATCTGTGCTTCGGTCTTCAGGGTGGAAACTCCCCTCCCTCCCCCGTCCCACCCTTTTCAGATACACCTTCATAGCAAAAGGGACAAGACTGACTCCTCCACCCCCCATGCCAAGGTTCAGCTCATCTTCATAGATTGTCCAGAATGTATGATGTAAAGGTCTCTTTTAAGGTCTGTCTGACAACTTGTAGTCTTTATTGTGCAAAATTGGTATGTAGGTGTGGTGGAGGAGGGCTAAAACTAAATTCATTGTACTTCATGCACTTATACCCCACTTACCCATTATATATACCCTGTGGAGGGTAGCCTAGCCTGAGCAATGAACTGAGAGCAGACAGTCCTATTTCCCCCATTGTGCATTGATTCTGTTTACTTCAATGTGAAGAGGATTCCTGTTTCAGAATGTAGAAAAGTTTTGTGGAACAGATACTGAAATATCCAAGCAAGGGTATGAAAGGGTATAAACACTCACACATGTTTTACAGGTGCTCTTCTTCCTATCTATCTGGCCCTCCCTTACTCTTCTCAAAGCTGCCTTTGACCTGCTGCATGAAGCTGGGCTGTGCAGCAGAAGAAAGCCAGCAAGCTCCAACCTGGTAATGTGAAGGAAGCTGGAGGTGAATTGACATTCTTGAATACTCAGGCCCTTTCTTTGCCCCTCATCAAACTGAAAAATATGACCAAGAGAGGAAGGGAAATGACTTTGCAGAAGGTGAACATAACTAATTCTTAGAGTCCCTCTCTCTTTCCCTCTCCTATTATTCTTTGGGTAAGCAAATGGATAACAAAAATCATGTGTTTTGAAGGTACCACCGCTCCAGCTGAGCAACAGCAATTGGAGAAAGAAAAGGAAAGGAACAACCCTCCAGGGAAGAAGCTTTGGATACAGAGGGCATCCTGACCCCTGGTATTTTGCTACTTTGAAATGGCAAATCTCGTCTCATGGGTTGCAGCTGGTCTTGCCCCTGAAAGACACTTAGTGCATGTTGTGCTCCTGCTACATCTCTCCTTAAGGCTTTCAACTTAAATGGCAAAACAGGCCGAAGAATGTATGTATCAACATTTAGTAAACAACTCATCAAGGTGAGGATGATCAAATATGGTATCTGTTTTTTATAGACAACATTTTCAAACTCAGCGATTACAATATAGTAGTAACGGAGCATGTTTATTGTTTCAGAACATATTGCCTTTATTTAATAGCTGGTACTGTGACCTCTAATGTGGGGCAGAGGGGCTATGTATGTTTCCATGTGGCACGCTGGGCGAAGGAGCAACAAGATGGCAAACATTGTTCAGTGGAAATGAGGTAAAGAAAAACGAACATTCTTTATACACCAGAGGTCCGGAGGGGTTCAGCTAGCAGTGACCAACCATAAAAGAAATCTTTGTGGTGAATGTTCAAGAAAAATGTTGACCTTGTGGAAGCAGCTATGAAAAATGACTAAGAATAATTTTTTTAAAAAGGACTGAAAGCGGTCAATATTGTAATGCAGTTGTACAAATCCATATTGTAAATGGACTGTGTAAAGTTTTGGTCATTTTTGCATTTCAAAAATAGAACTAGAAAAAGTACAGAAAACTGCAACCAAAATGATCAATGGGCTGCCTCAACTCTTCCGTGAGGAGAGCTTGCTACAGTAGTAATAAAATTTGCAATGTATGTTCTTTGGCAATATACTTTACAGAAGGCTTACAAAAATAGCCATCTTATCTTTAAAGAGGTTTTCCTCACTATAGGAATGAAAATGCCCAGTCCTATATATAATTGAAAAGAATGTCTCAATGGATTCTGTGGGGCTTACTCTCAAGAAAGACTGCCTTGCATTCCACATAAGTTTAGCAGTTTGTTAATGAGCAATTTATAATGTATGTGAAGAAGCAAGTATTGTAATACAAAAAAGGATTTTCCTATTTTTTTTTCTCCAAATACAGCCACAGAACAGCATAAGCATCTTAGAACTGAAGAGCTGGATGGGACCCTATGGCTCATGGAGTCCAGCCCATATCAAGGGGGCACAGTGGGGAATCAATTTCCCAACCTCTGGTACTGTAGCCAGAGACCTAAACCACTGAGCTACCAGGCAGTTCACATAACACAGTACAGTAGATTTGATTCAGGGACAAGGAAAGTTTCAAAAATATTTTTACTGCTGCAGCTCTTACATTAAAATAGCTAGTCTGAGGGGAGAACAGTACAGAAATATGACAGTTTTTGAAGTATGCCTCTTTCTTATGAAATGTCACATGATGAGAAAATTCATGCAAAATGCAGATGGATAACCATTCTACAATGTGATCAGCAAAATGGTGGCCACAGAACTGTTACAATTGCTATTTGATGCCACTAGAACAGAAGGAACAAAAATGTTGGGGGGAAAAGAACGAAACCATGCAGCAATGGTGAAGATCACCTCTAAGAAACCAATACTCTGATTCTAGGAACATTATGAAGGAGCATAGCTAGTACGATTTAGAGGCAGGTGCGCACAAACGTGCGTGCGCGCGCACGCACGCACGCACGCACACACACACACACACACACCTTCTTCCTCTCAGCAAAAGCTGGAAAACATCATAATTATTCTGATTTCAGATACTACTATAGCTGACTATAAATACAAATCCAGAGTTTCCTTGTATGTTACCTAGTTGGGTGTGGCCTGTACAACAGCTAATGTACTTGAGCTAAATCAATGGCAACTTGGGTCCCAGCCATAAGATGTAATGGAGGTCACTAGAGCTTCAACGCCTTTAAACTAATCATTAAATTCAATGAATGAGGAAGGCCATCCATTTAATGCAGTTAATGCCCCCTTTGGTAGCCATGAATGGCATCTGGCTGATCATTGCTAGAAACAGAATATACTAGACTTAATGGACCTGGATGTAGAGGCCAGTGCTTCTGATACAGCCAAAGAGACCATGAGAAAGAAATGGGTGTGGGTGGGAAGGAACTATCAGAAGAAGGCAATGGCTAATGGGAAGGGGAAATAAGCAAACCAACAGAATGGTTGGAGCATGGAAACGAAAAGAGCATCGGCGATTTGGACTGCTACAGTTACAGTTCAGCCAGTTTTGTTCAAGGTCAAATACTTCAGGGCCCTCACGTGACAACTATCCACGTCATGTTGCAAGCCATCTAGCAGTCTCATCCATGCTGTTCCAAGATGCTGGCTGCTCTACAGG